TTTGGCATTTAAGGACAATTTTCTCTTATCTTCTTCATCATATTCTTCCCTAGTTTTAGAAATAGTTTGATCCGATCTACCATCTATTTTAATAGTTTTAGTAGGAACATATGGACCAAGTTCGATAACTTCCCAAATATTATAATCAATTGATTGCATAGATATCATCATTCTAGCTTTCCAATAATTGTAGTGTGTGCCATCAAAAAAGGGGAGATCGATTAGTGGAGTGTCCCTCTAGAGTTTGAAACACTTGGTTAGCCATTACTCAAGATTGTAAAATCTTTTAAAAGTGAGTACCTCTCATGGCCGGTCAACTGCCCCGACAGTGCGGTCTTTTCACATTTTGACCTCGTTTCCGATTTGTAAATTTTGAAGTGTATGGACTTTTGGAGAATATTTTTAACTAAATTTTCATAATAAAAATGTCTTTAAAATCCATATATCATTTTTAAAAGTCATTTTCATGTTTGACAAAAAAGGTTGCATTCGAATTATCTTAGTACACAAAAATTATTTTTAATGCATAGCAAGATTTTGAGCTTAACTATTATTTGTAAAATATCAAAGCATTAGTACATTTACATTTTGCCTAAGAAATCAAGTCTTTACTCCGAAGTATGCGTCGTCTTGATCTTTCATTGATGTCGTCTCTCACGCTCTTGATCTTGATCTTGATCTTGATTTTTTTTTTTTTTTTGCATTTTTCTCTTAAACTTTTTGTCTCGAATAATTTGACTTGAATACATGGCTTTCACTTTGATCTTCATTTGAAGTCCGATACTACATAGTTGATTTGAACATTGAACCATCATCACTAAAAAGAATTTGTTAGGAATAAAAATAATATTGTTTGTTATGATCAAAACATTTAGGATTAAGTCGACCATATGCCAACAATGTACACAGGAAACATTTCAAAATTTAGTCAACATGAAGTCATTTCCCCTATTACTAAAGGTATCTTCTCATTTCCAACATTTTTTCCCAGCTTATAAGCTTCAAGCTCAATCATCTTAATATTAATGTGCTCTATATTGCCATGAATTAGTGATTTGAGTAGCAAATAGAACAACAAGGTGAAATATTCCCACAAAAAAACTTCTCTTTTATTGAGAGAGAGATACAATAACTTCAAAAGTTATAATTACGAATTTAATAGAGTTGAAAAGGCATTTTAATGTTGACAAACTCTTGACACTTCTCTATAATGTTTTTTGTTTTTTTTTTTTCCTGCTCAAGGTCAGAGTTTGGGGGTTGGATGGGAGAAAGAACAAGCACCCGATTGTGTTGGAGGCAACGTCAAAGTTTTTAAACGGGCTAAATTCTGGGTGGGAATGTCTTTAGAGCTGATGGTTTTGCAGCGTAGGTGAATAATGAAATTACATCCATAGTCATGTTAAGAGGATAAATTATTGAACAAAGTGAAAAAAAGGGAATCAATAGTTGGTACTTGCTGACTACTATAAACAGCAGATTCTGCAATTTGTATTTGAGGTTTTATAAGAAATTGAGATGTAATTTTTTTGTTTTCCTATGCTTCTTGTTGCAGATTAGGCTTTTCCTTCCACGTTGTCAATGTGGTGATATGATAGTCAAATTTTCCTTGCATAAATATGGAGCAAGTTCAACCAAATGGAGAAAAAGGACTCAAGTTGTAAGCTAGATTAACATTTGAATTTTTCAATGTCTAATGCTTTCAGTTGACGCTTGTCCATCTCCATTTTAACTTCTACATCTACTTGGAACTGAGTTTTCCTAGTGCCATTTTTTGTCCTTTTAGGCATAACATCCCTTTTCTTTGTGTTTATAATAGTTGCAAGTCTCGAAGGAGTTTAACTATACTAATCTAAATGGAAAACCCATCCAAATATCATACTCTAATCAATACTCGAGCTCGGGCAAAAGTAGTGCTGGGAATATGCCTGTAAGGTACTATTTTCCCTCAGTTTATTGTTTGGCATGATAGTTTTCCTTCATTTTGAAGAAATTAAAAAAAAAAAATTGATCTTGTGGAATTTGAACACAACAATTTATAAAAGGTACCATTTGAGATTTTTTTTCCCCAAAGGGCTATGGTTTCATACCATACTTTGCTCTCTTTCTGAAGGGCTATGGTTTTATAACTTGTTCTTACTTTGCTCTCTTTATCATCTGTAATTTAAAAAAAAAAATTAAAAATTCTATCCTTCATAAGTATAGTTGGGGCATATCAGCTACTTTATCGTAAAAAAACATAAATACTGCATTATATATATGTCCACAAAGATTTTTCCACTAAGAGTCCAATGTTCACGTTGTACAAAGTATATTGTATAGATGGAATTTTCATCCCTACACGAAGTGTATTGTTATAGTTGAATGTTTCATGTGTACTTAATATTGAAAATCTGGTTTTCCTTTTCAACATATGAACATTTGAGAAGTAAAATCACTATGATTGTAATTTTTAACTTATTATCGTTCTTTCTTATAATTTGCTCTGTTATTTTTTTTTCATTTATTCAACTTATATTCAGTTGCTCATACTTTTACCCTTGTCAAATAGAACCATTTTGGTTAGTATCTAATTACGATGATATAAAGAGTACAGTTGCAACGAGAATTTAAAGACAATGAATACCAAATTTTCATATTGAAAATATAAAATATACAAAAAAATAAGTTGATTTTAACCAACTTGTGAATATCTTTTATGTTTAGAAATGAATTTCTCTAAAATTTACATATACTTATTTTTAACATTAATCAATTAACGAGCAACGCACGTTCCCCCACTAGTATTGAAAACATGCAGTGACAAGGTTGCAACAATATGAATTTATCCTTGTTTTATAATAGAAAATTGCATTATCAATCCTAAAGTTATTGTTTGAATAGCAGGTTGGTCCCCGATTTTTAAATAAAAGTTCATTTTAGTCAATGTTCCAACAAGCTTAAAGCATGACTAGGTATGGAGTCTAAATTTCAAATTTTATGAGCCTGGGCCTTAAAAAAGGTTTTCTTATTTTTAATATTATATTAATTTTTAATCATTTTAAAAATCGTGTAATAATTAAAACAATACATACCAAACATCTAAAATTATATAATACTATATTTACTTAGCCCCTGTTTGACAGCCTTTATTTGAAATTTTTTTTTCTACATACTTATTTTCAACCACATATTCACATAATAAAATGTTCTGCACGTAAACCCAAATCTTTTTCCTACTTTTTAACCACGTATTCTCCTAAATACCAATATTCAAAACATTGTTTTTCAAAAACGATGATTGTCAAACAGGGGCTTAATAAGTTCTACAATTAGTCAATTATAAAATTTTCAAAAGAAAAAAATAAAAATAATAGTAAAGAAGATGTACATTAAGCGGTCAACTTAACAGTTGATAGCTTAATTTCGCACTTATGCGTCCCATACACTTGCCTTCTCTAAATACACATATGTATCTCTTACACTCTATTTTTTTTTTATCTCTATTTATTTGACGATCACCATCACCAACTCCGACCACCGTCACCATCACCATAACCGATTGAGTCCCTTCACCGATTACCAATACACCAACCTCAGTGAGACATCACGATCGCCTTACAAAGTTGATGCGTGATACTTGCCCACACACAGTGATGATGGCTTAGTTGCTTGTCGTTGCTACTTTTTGCGCAGATGGTGTTGATGGGTTTTTGGGGCTTCGGGTGGTGTTAATAGATTTTAAGTGATCTGGATGGCGTTGACGATGGTTGTTGGTGCGATCTGTGTGATGGCGATGGTAATGGCGGTGGTGGTTTTTGTTGTAGGTCATAATGGTGGTAGTGGTGGTGAGTTGTGGTGATGATAGGTTATGGATTCGAGACAACAGCGTGTTTTGGGTGGTGCCGACGATGGTGGAACAAATTGTGTGAAGTGGGTAGAGATGAATGGTAATTGGATACAGTATGATTGGGTAATAGTAACCAATTAATTTGAAAATATAATTCCGTGTGCAAGGAATTTTTCATAGAAATCATACGTAGCATCTGTATGGTATATTTTCTGCCTTTGTTGTATCCAAACCCAATGAAATATTGCCAAAAGTGTTCTTCTGCAAAAACTTTGTCAAACTTTTTCAGTACCTATAACTGTTGATAATATATGATTGAGAAATAAATTGTGACCAATTAATTTAATAATTTGTAACCGATAAATAAGTTATGATCAATTACATTAATAATGAGATTGAGAATATAAATTGTGACCAATTAATTTAATAATTTGTGATCAAATAATAAGTTGTGGCCTATAAAATTAGTGATTTATGATCGAAAATAAGTCGTGGTTAATTAGCATGATAATTTGTGATTGATAAATAAATTGTGACGTATAAAATTTGTGATTTGTCACCGTAACGTTCAGTGATTGTGACCAGTATGTAATCGTGACATAAATTGTATGTTATTGTGATGTTAACTTATTTAATTAGTACCACTTCATTTTTGAAAGAATTTCACAAATTTGTCAAATTTAAAATTATATCTTTAAAAGTTTATAATTATGTATTTTTCCCCAACTATTTAGCTCTACATTTGAATTGGCCATGCAGTGAATTTGTGGTCTTTTAATTTATAATTTATAATTTTATAAACCTAATATAATAATAAAAATATATTTACTGTGAGAGTACGACGTTTAGCATCTGGTATTAGAAACGTTTAGATGTTACTTGAGGCAAAATTTGTATCTTCCATTCCAATAGTGTATATATTGAAAACATACAGTGACTATCAAGTCTGTTTCTCTCCATATGTCGCCATTTCTTTTTCACGGCAGAACACTGAAGGTCATATGCCTATAGTTCTACCTACTATCACGTTTGGCTTAGGTTAAAAGTGAATTTTCTCCCGATGGATTTGAAGTTTACTAGGTGAAGTTTTTTACAATTCCGTTCAGCTCACTGCCAGATTGTGACGTAGAAGTTGATTTGATTAGAAAATGTGTTCGATGATATTCCACTAATATGTTCGGTGATCATGCACGAGTAAACTTTATTGGCAAGACTCGAATTTTACATTAAAAGAATGAAAAAAATGAATAAATGAAAATAAAACTTGCTGGCATGAGACGATATATACACACAGTGAAAAAACATACTCTCTAACTCTCCTGTTCATACGCAGGTAAAACTAGGTTATTCTTATATACTATGTTCCCTAAGCACCAAAATTTAGTTAGCTTAGATCATGACGATCGCTGAGGTATCTCTCGGCTATGGCAGCTTGAGTTGCTGCACCTACTGGGAGCGCTTCTTCATCGATCATGAAATGTGGAGAATGTGCCGAGTGTACCGAGCCTAGAGTCTCGTTCATGATGCCGATGTAGTAGAAGGCTGCTGGGATCACCTCGGAGTAGAATGAAAAGTCCTCACCCCCCATTACTGGCTGGACGACTTTGAAATTTTCGGGCCCTATCAAATCGGTGGTGACCTTCTTCACGTGTTCATACATGCGGTCATCGTTTACCATTGGTGGGTAAATTGTGTCTGTGTCCTTAAAAAAGTCGACTGTGGCAGAGCATCTGAAAACCCGAGCTTGGTCTACAATTACCTGTTCATTTTTTTTTATCTTCGATTAGTACAATCGATAGAATATAATCACATTTCAGTATTGTTCGGTATGTTGGACTAAACACGACAACTAACTATATTGTCACGTGGTTCTTCCTTTATTCTGTCTAGCAGTAGTGTCCAGTCGGGCATACCGAACACACCCTTTAGTATAAAGCTAGGATTTAGTCCTCGGACAAACCTCTTCTATTCTTTTGACAAGTTGGTAGAAGCTCGTGTTAGAAAATGCCCTTAAGGTGCCACCAAACTCAACACTATCTGGTATAACATCAAGATCATCTCCACTGTTAAAGAAAGTTACCGAGACCACCTAAGAAATCAAACAAAATGCAAATACGTTTCAGATTTCTGTAGCTTTAACATGAAAAAAAATATTAGGTATTTGTGGGAATCCTCCGATAGCACAGGAATTATGCCTTTCCGAGATTTCAGGGGGGGTTCTCTCTCCCTCAATTACTCGGATACTGTGCTAAGGCTGAATGCTTGGCGGTGGGGAAGGAATTTGTTGAACCACCCTGTCTAGAAGTTTATGCTAACTTGTAGAAATGACAATATAGACGTATGTAATGAAAATTTTCAGATAATTACTCGCCTGAGAGTCCAAAGGATTCGTTTCTCGAGAAATGATACCCTGTAAGCTGATCACGGCTGCTGAAGCTGCAAAGACGGGGTCAACCGACTGGTGAGGGCTTCTCACTTGGTCCTGTGTACCAGTAATAACAACTCTGAAGAAGCCAACACCGGCGAGTAAAGGACCGGTTCTTGACCCAATGACACCGGTAGGGAGCTGATGGGATACGTGCACTGCGAATATAGCCTCGATATCTGCAAGGGCTCCATCTCCCATCATCCTTTTTGCTCCATTTCCAGCTTCTTCAGCTGGCTGAAAGAGTAGTATAACAGTCCCCTGTCACATGAGGTAATATTAGCTATGATGCGTGCAAAATTCAAAACGAGTTGCACTTTTGTTTCAGAAACGAGGCGAGTCTCATTTTCCATTTTCTATGCCTTTAAATAAGCGACTAAATGATACCGAGAAAGATAGTATTTCAGGTTTCATAGAGAAGAATCTGTAAATTCAGAGTCAGCAACAATTTTTCCAAAATTTAAAATTAAAGCATAGATTCACTTCGATTATTACCAGAAGAATAAAGCTGCAGAACCCGGGACTAAATCCCGGGCTCCAATTCCGGCACACCTTAGCCCCTGATTTTGAATGGGGCGGGCCCCATGAATTAAAGATCAAGGGCCGAGGTGATTGCCACCCCTGGAGCCAATCCAGGGTTTTAAACCCGGGATCTGACACATCTCTCTTAGCAGAACAATGATAAATGTTGAATAGGAATTTTATTCTAGTGGATTGGTATAATTGAACTTGAAATCTAAATGTTATTGATAGTACTAAAAATAACACTACATCAAAAGAAAATGGCCCACCTGCCCATCTTTCTAGAGGTCCACTACCTTTGTAAATTTTTGGTGGTGGGGAAGCCGGACCAAACAACCACCTTTCTTGCTCCTTTCATTTCATCCTAGATTTAGAATAACATGTCCGTCTTGCAGAACATGGGGCTCTCTGTGAATAATTTTTCGAGAAAACTAAATTACAGGTATAAAAAGCCATCAAGTTTCTTAAGGCTTAAGCAAATATTGCTTTTCATTTAAGTTAAAATTAACCCGGAATAACAAGTGTTAAGTTTTATCCAAAATAGCTCAAGAAAGTTATTCAAATGTCACAATTAGCTCATTCAGGTTTCTCTAATAAAAAATCGTACGTCATTTTCAAAAACCAATCCTCTATATATTGGAAGAGTTCAAGAACTACAACCTACATCTCAGGACATAACAAATCATTGCTTCTCGAGCCCTACGTTAAGAGTTTTCATTTACTGAGGTTCCTTCAAAAATGTCCCCACTATGAAGATAAATTCTTAAATGAGGGTACACTATGGGCATGTTTAATAGTTATTATGAGAATTGATTTTTTGATTATTAGAGAGAAAGGGAGGCCCACCTATGAGTGAAGAAGTAAAAAATAACGGCTGAAATTTTGAAATAATGGTCAAAAAATTGATTTTTTGGGTGAAAAATTGTTACCTAACGGGGGCTATATATATACACACACATTTATGGTCCTTGCAAGTAGTTGTCAATCATAATCAAAAAGTACCACACACTTTTACCCCAGACTCAAAAAAAGCGGAACATCATTTCCTGCATTCATCATTTGTTATTATTAGTACTAATATATAACTCGCCAAGACAGATTAATACCAGTTCTCCTATTGTTAAGTTCTGGTAGGAATAGGATTGCCAATTTCCGATAGTTGCAGTACGTAGTAACTGTTGAATACTGGCTTACCTTCATAGGGTTCGGGATATGATATATTTGGTAAGGTCGACAAGAAAGTCCACTATAGCGTCGACTAGTAATCACATTTAGAAACATAGAAACATGCTGATATGCAGAGGACGAGGGCCTGTTTTTACCAAAATAGATGTCTATACACCAAAATAGCAAAGCAGGTAAGCTGTCACAAAATGATACCCATATTGAAAGTATAAGCATCTTAACCGGGCTGTTAACCATAGGGTCAACTTTAACGTCATGACGACATATTCAGTGCCTAGTGTTTGACATAACCGGACAATGTTGCGTACCACACACGCCCTAAAGGGCAAAGTTTGAAATTTCATGTACCAAAGAGTTCAAGATTTCTCAAAGAATCAAACAACATAGACACACATTTACATTATAACATGTGCAAAACTATAGATCAAAAATCAAATGTACTTAAACAAAGTATATGAGAACAGGCTATTCAACATACTTGTAAATGCTTTTCACGCGCTTTCAAAATCTTTGCCGCACCAATAAGCATGGCCACATGCACATCATGTCCGCACGCATGCATTTTACCATCGTTTTTGCTTTTGTACTCCCATTCAACAAGTTCCTATAATGACATACAAGGGAAATGCAGAACCTAAGCAAACTTGAAAAAGAAGGTTGTATATTATCCCAGTATGGTCATCCTTTAATCACTTTGCATACAAAATGTGCGTAAACATATTAATATGTAAAGTGGGCTTATTTGGTGCATATCTGTACCTCAATACTGACCAGTGCCGTCAAATCTAACATGACAAACAGGTTAATACTGCAGGTTTGATGCACAATACAGAAAACAGTCAAACACTATACTGTAACGGGCTAAATTTAAACTTCTTTTTTTTGGTATTCGTATTCAATCCCCTCGAGTCCAGCACAACTGGCTAAACGGGGACGTTGGATGTCGTATCGACCCTATTTCTTCTTTAATCCTGACAAATGAGATTTTAACTTCATTTTCTTTCTTAATCTCGTCACATGCAGTCGAATCTAACATAAAAAAAATGCTAATAAAGCATAAACAGGGGAAGAATAAGTAAAACCTGAATTGGTAGAGCGTCCATATCTGCCCTGAGTGCAACAAAAGGAGGCCCCCCAGTACCAATCATGGCTCTAATCCCAGTTTTAGCCAATGGAAACCTATAATCAATTTCCATTCTATCCAATTCTCGACGAATAAGCATACTCGTCTCAAATTCTTCGAAAGCGAGTTCTGGGTTCTCATGGATTCTTCTCCTCACTGATTTAATCCATTTTCCATTTTCTGGGTTCTTTGCAAATTTCAAAATCTCCTCCGAACAAGCTCTGTTCCATATACTGCAATCTGTATTCAAATTTGGGATCAAGGATTTCTTTCCCGATGAAGAATTGGATTTGAAACAGGGCCTGTTTAAATAAGAAAGCACTGAATCAAAATAGGAGAAATCGTGACTGGGGTTTGCTGTGACTGAAAACGGGCTGATGATCATGTAAAAAAGAACGCAAAAATTTGCAAAAACTGAGAGATTGTGAAGAATCTGCATTTTTTCTTTTTTTTTCGTAAATTATTGTTTAGAGAGAGACAGAGGATTATGGGGAGAGTAATTGGACTAATTTATGAAGATCAAAGGTTGACAGAGTCAAGAGCAAGACGGTCGGGGTCGTGTGGGGTGAAGAAGAATATTAAAACGTGGGGATAAAATGGATGTCTTCAATTGTGTATATATGTCACGTTGAAGAATTTGCACAGAAAATGCTATGCAATTGAAGTGTAGAATCAAGTACAGTGGGGTCCACCATTTGTTGAGAGCGTAGGCAAAGGGTAGTCTCTGCATGATTTGATTTGATATAGAGATGTTGCTTCGACTCGATTCAACTCATCAAGCGAGTCGATCAGTCATTCGGGACGATCCATCTGTCAATTGACTAGGTTGAAGAAAATGTCACGGATTCATGGAAATTGAGGATTAATAGTGCAATTATCTCTCCATGTATATAAACTTTTGAAAATTCTAAAGAGAGATAGAGAGATTTTAGCCTCATGTTTTAGAGAGAGAGAGAGAGTTTTTAGCCTCATGTTTTCAATCTTTGATTTAGAAAGTTATTGTGCTTTGAATAATGGAAATGTGGCTGCTGCTTCATGCTTGGATTGTTTTTTATGTTACAATTTATAAGTGGTTAATATATTTCTTGGAATATTGATAACAAAGTCAATCCAAAAAAGTTAAAATATTCCTAAAGGAAAGTTAAACAATAAAACTATTCTTCTCCTTTTCATAATTTATAATCTTTTGATTTTAACTTTTTCTTTTCTTATTGATTGTGTTAGTTGTTACACGTGCACACCCAAAATTGAGTTTAAGAATTTCATTTTTTTCTAACTCGTATGCTTTCAAACCTATTCAATTAATAATACACAAAATAAAGATCAATTTGTTACATTAGTAGGTACGGCGCCAACTTGTCGTTCAATCACTAACTTGGGAACTCAACAAAGCCATTGTTCTGCATTCGTATTAATAACCTTCACCTAATTCTCGTATACATCTTCCCACGGTTATAGATCCTACAAAATACGCTAATAATAAGTAAGCAGTAAGTTGTGAATTCTACAAAATGTCAAAATCTATGGATAAAAATCATTGTTAGATTTGTATTGATAAAGCTCAATTTGAATTTATCTCCTCATGTTATAGATTTTATCCTTATCGTCGTGTTGATAAGATTAACTTTTTTGGTCAAATTGAATAATATTACTTATAAGTACATTTCTTTGTCGAATAACCTTTACCTAATTCATGTAGTTAAAATAAGTCAACATATATAAATTAATTAATCCGATAAAATGTTGCGCAAAAGATATTTTTCTTAAAAAATTGTGGCAATATGACACGAACATTTGTGTTTTTGTCATAAATGAGTATTTTTATACAAACCGATAAAGCCATAATTAATAGGCCAACTTACACCATTTATTCCGTGTCACGCATTAATTATGTAAGACAAGACATCATCTACTTGTATTGGTTTCATGTGAATCTATGTAGTACGTATACAACCGAGAGGTAGACGTGGACATACTTCATAATTGAGGGATTGCTCCCCAAATCTCATTTAATATAAACAAAAAAAAAAATGTGACTGTCGATCTCATTTTTTATTTTCTTATCTTCTACATTTAACCTACGTTGCTTGACAATATTATCTCGAACCTTTTATTTTTTTATGTGCGTGATGCCCATTGGTAATACTCAGGCCGATCGATCCATCCTTGTGTTATGGTTGAGACTTGCTCTAGTACTTGAAATAGCGAGAACATCTCCATGTAGTAACTCTATGCTCAAAATTAATAATAAATTAGACTCATTGATTGTCCAGAGACACTATCACTAAGTATGATCCTCCAATGACAACCTGAATATGGTCGACATCGACTACAAACCCAATGCATTAACCATTAATGTTAATTGGGAGATACCAAACTCAACCGACTATTGGTTATTTATCAACAGCCCTGCTATAGCAACAGGGCTGGGGACAGGCATTTGGGACAGGGGCCGAAGTGGCAGTTAAAAAATCATATCAAGGTCCGAGGTGCCCTATCCCAAATGCCTGTCATGAGGTCCGGTTGCTTTAGCATAATAGATCTATCAACGTGTAGTCCCCATGATTGGTGCTTTTGGTGCTCGTTTTGATATGCTATACCGGGGAATTACATATATATCACCCATTGCCGTTGATAATTTGTCTTACTCCCTCCGACCAAATTATATAAGCTTATTTCGTTTTTCACACGAATTAAAAAATCTTTTTAATGTCATTGAAAAATTAATTTTGTCAAAATTTTTTCTAGTTTACTTATATTTAATTTTCAGTATGTAGTATTAAATTGTTGTTGTGGTTAATGAAGAATTTAAATTATAAAATTTGAAGAAGAAGAAATGAGAGTTGTTTTCTGTGTTTATAAGAAATGAAAAATGTATGTATTTTGATGATTTCAAGAAATTGACATATTTAAGTGAAGAAAATTGAATAAGAGTATATTGATAAAAGAATATAACAAAATATTTTAGATTAGGAAACATGCTTATATATTTAGGATAAGAGAAAAAGAAAACTCGACCTATATAATTGGGACGGATGAAGTATTATTTTTGTCGTAAACGATCCACACGAAAAAAGTAGTTAACAAGAAACACGTGCACCAATATATAAAAATGTTAATAATAGCACCGTTGAATTATTATAAAACGATAAAATTGTCCGGTACATAATGAAAGTCGGAAAAAATGCCGACAGGGTTTCTGAATAATAAATTGGCCTATGGGACTCAAAATACAAAACGAGTTGACAAAT